TAATCCATGCTACTCAGCAACCAGTTATCGCTGTAATATAGGCAGACACGATTATCTCCACAAGCAGATTAAATGGTGAGGGAAAATGACAGAGGCAAAGCGAGATAAAAACCCAAAAAGAACTAGAACGAGACTTCCAGGGTAGTTAGGCGTCGATTCAACTGTACGGTAGGGGTTACGGATGTAATCACTTATCACACGGCATAAAAAGTAAACGAGGCATAAGTTTGTGGAAACGGTAGTCCAGTTGAAATAAGTGTTGAGATGACTTTATCTATGAGATGTGGTGTTGACCGTGGCTATCCTGGAGCTAATTGTTTCCAAGACTACCCCAGTGATAGTTTAATGGGATTTCAAGCTCGCGAATTGGCGTTCTTGTATGTCCTCCTACTGCTAGACTGTCCTTGGACGACCTTTTACATTGAAGATCTAATTACGTAAGCAAAGTTTCTTCTTAGAATTGTCTGGAATGAATGGCGTACTCACCACCATACAGGAGTGCAGGGTAGGCACTACTCGTGTGCAGTGTCATGGGTTGTCGCTACTCGTAGCCCTGCATTCAGATGTTAGGAATAGCAACGCAAGGGAGATTCTGAAATATACCGTTGTGGTGGTATATTAACTGCACCTAACTGTTTACTAGAAAAATCCGATGATTGAGGAGAACAGGGGCATGTAGAACACACCGAGAACGGGTGAAGGGGAAGTGAAAGCGAACTGGAATATCGTTTGTAGCCGAGTATGAAGGGGAACGGGGTTGGACGGATTACTGTGTCTTAAGGCTAGAGAACTACCAAATCTGACCAGTCCTAGTGGGAATGTTCGCGTGTCTATGACAAGGAGTAGTGCCCTTGAGCATCTTTTCACCAACTTACCTCACAAAAATGGAATTGATTAACGAAGAGCAAAGTGCGAACCTACTTGTTCGTAAAGTAGTAAGTCTTATACGTTGTGACCAATTCTTCTGAACAACCAATAGATATGGCGATAATTTGTTTACCTCACATTTTACCCTATAGCCTCATTCAGTGAGAAAATTTCAATCCAGCCTAGTAAGGCTATAGGTAAGAAGCAGTATTTCTGTGTGACTGCTGGAGCTTTCGATTGGCATGAGTTTCGGAGAGACAACTGGATAGCACAACTACCTGAGACACACTTTGCAACGAGGCAACCAGCAAGAATTCGCCCATTCTGTTACCAGACGAGGTCTTCCGCTATACTTCGTAATCTATGGGTGGCAACCATATCGGAAGGGGTAGTTCATGGGTCAGGACAGTTGACAACGGTTTTCCATCGTTTCTCCAATTTATCTGTTCTTGACTTTTACTTCCTAATTTTTTCTAAGTGCTTGTAAGTAATGGTTGCTGGTTTTCGACTTCTCCGCTGTTGTAAGAATTCTCGCATGCGTTCTCGCACATTCCAATGGCTGTCCCATGCGGCATCCACGTTTCGAGAATCATGTCAGCATTGGCTTTCGTGGTAGATATCCTGGAGGGAGGACGTTTGGCTCGTCCTAACTGACATGCAGATGATGGCACGATGATTCCCACACGTCAACCCTTATAAGGAGCGTCAGCGTTCTCGAGCTTCGCTTATCCTGTTTCTTCCCCCTTCACTGGGGCGTCCGTGGGAACAAAATAGCAGATTCCGGAAGGTTTTTTCCACAACATCTACTGCTACATGCTAACTATTTAGAATAACAAACTTAAATAAATCTCAACTTTTTGTTGTCGTTGATTTCTGGCTTGGTGCGGGATATTTCTAGGGCCTTTCCGTGCTTTTTTTTCACCACTTCTATCTGATACTTTGGCAGATTACTCGCACCAGAAGAACAGGCGCTCCTCTTTTCATGCCCAAACCATCAGTGCCCTGGAAAACTGCTGTATCTGGTTGGCAAGAACCTGGAATGACCAGCACTTTTCTGTGTTTGCCTAGGTGAAGGTTCAGAGACCATGCAATCTTCTCCGAATACTTCTACCCGCACATCCCCACTACTGAGTTGAACAGACCCTAATGTCCTCAAATCTTCTCAGATATGCACTAACAGCAAGGCTAGTCGCATCGCCGATTCCCATAGAACCGACGACGTCAAGCAGTCATTAAGTATAGGGAAGGCCGCAAGACAAATCGTCTTAATTGTTTTTCATTGGGCCAGATTTGCCCCGTGAGCCACTCTACCGTTTGGGGAAGCATGATGTAGGGCACTCTATCTGGGTATCTGTCAGAATATAAGTTCTCATAGGTGCTCAGAGGTTCCCATCCCGTCTGAGGATGTTTGTGCTTTCAAGGGCGTTTTAGTTTCGGCGAACTCCTTCTTTGCAAAACTCTATTCTTTTAAAGATGGGCATAAAATAAAATGAAAAATTAAATTACGTGGTTTTAGCCATTAGTCGCTTTAAGTCAGAGTGGAAACGTTGCAAATTAGCAGCCATAAAAAAATAGCATTTTTCCGAATAATTTCCCAAGTCCCATTCCCTTTCTTTCCCCCACTTCATTCGAGGGACAATTGGAAAGCCGTCCCTTCGATGTTGGTTCAAAGTGCGTTGGCCTGCTGTGCTCCCGAATCGTAGTCAGTTACTGCCGTAACAACTCCAAATTACAGCAGCCACAACCAGTTTTACAATTGGGACGTGGACGCTCGCGAGACGCCAAGGGCAGCTGTTATTTTCAATTGCCAACTGCACATCATTGCAGTGTCTAATGCAGTCATTCCTCAAGTGAATTGGCAGTCTTCACTCTAATTGGAATGGTTGAAGGCAAAATTGACTTTCCTCCCAAACCACGGTTAAACTGACAATTATAGATCGTGAAAAAAGCTTTTTTCGCTCTATGATTGTCCAAAAAGCCATAAACATGAACCCATGGAACCTGTTATGTTCAAGAGACGGGTGTGGCCTAAAATACTTAGAGCGGTATGGTGTACGGATGGCCATGTGACATGGTAACACGTAGGGCTAGAACTTCCCGTTTTGCTCGGTCATGGTTTAACTGACACAGGCCTGATATGAACGAGTTCTTGAAATCGGATGGAAACTTTTTCCCTTCCCGTTTTTTCCATCGGAGGATTCTCCACTTTTATAAGCTGCCTACTCCTCCAGCGATGTCCAGATATTACCTGAGAAGTGGATGTGCAATGATTCGAGGTTTCCGTGATCGATGACCTCAAATATCACCATTTTCCCCCTTTCCCTCTTCTTCTTAGCATTCTCAGCTTCGGTATGATTGTAAAATAACTTGCCCGGTGCTGCTTTTCAGTAGCGG